ATATATTTTTTCTTTTTTTTTTTGCGGTTCAGCAGACTCAAGCATACAATAGCATCCACATTACATCTGCCGAACATACGAAATGAATCCCCAAGTTTTCAGAGACTTCTTACTCTTCAGCTTAATTATAGCAGGTAAGCAAAAGTACAGTTTTCTAGAACTTTTATTTTGTTAAATGTAGACTTGTTTTGGTCCCGGAAGTTAGCGATGCTTTTGCTGCATTTGATGCGCATTGATCATGAAGTAATTAATACTGTAGATCGTGCACGACTGAATCGTCTTTATTACTGCCCTATCGACATATATGTGCATTACATGAAGTCTACAGGTCTTTGCTGTCGACTGACACATCATGCATTTTTTGTCCATTTGAACATCTTAGTCGGTGAAATAGTCTAATCAATTTTCAGGTTTTTTTATATATGCCTTTGCTCACGTTTTAGTGTCATAATGTTGGTCATTGTTACTACTGTTTGACTGTTTATCTGATCAATACCTTTGCGGGATTATCAGCTATACAAATTTCACGAATAGTGTAGCGATTTGAAATTGAGAGTGGAAAATCATTACCACCACTGAAAAGAACGACATAAATTCACAAAAGATACCACGTTTGAAAATAATTTGTTAAAAATTCGAATAGATTAAGGTTCTCAAATTCACAACATTTTACAAAACAATGCATAGTAAGGTTGAGTGGTCAGCCTTACCATKGCTTTCTTTGTTACTTTTAGAGTTTTTGAAGTGCTGCATTTTCTTAACATTTCAACGGATTATTCTCAAATTTTAGGCCGTTCTGTTCAGTGATTATAATGTTTTTTTCACTACCGCTCGATTTCGAATGGCTGAATTATTCGTGAAATGGCCTATCGCCTCAAATCTGATSATCGAGTTACACTAATTAAGTACAATTGAGAGACATTTTTCTTCTTGTTTTGAAGAGTTTCAATGTTTTCAAATCTTTCAAAACTTTGTGAATTTTTAAATTAAAAGCGCTGTAAAATCGTGGTTATTTTAATATTACTCAGAACCCCCMCTCCGAAGCATAAGAAACTTTTCTGGGGGAGGACCAGACTCCTTTAATACTCCCGCATTTGGTGTTCGTTAGATCCCCAGATCCAAAACATATGTCGCTGYCCCTGACATTTGCATAAAAAGTCCAGGCTACGCGCCCGACTAATGGAAATCTAAATTCAAAGAGTCGTTGATGTGTGAGTGAAATTGACCAAAGATATGAATTTTTTTCAAGTATTGATTTTTTCAATTTTTTACATAAATTGAGGATGTAGTTTTCACACATAAATTGAAGATGTAGAAGCTGAAAAACATATAGATGATTTATTAGACATAACAAGCACAAGTAATATCAATGTCGTCTTTGACCATAAAATCGTTACATAAAATCGTTACATAAGCCTTTTCTTCGACCTTGAAAACCTTTGCCAGGAACAAAATTATTTGAAAGAAGCAAGGGCACCACATTTGCTTGTCAGCTCCTCCTGAAAGTTTTTGTCTTTACACTTAGATCCATATGAGTAAGCCACCTCTTGCATCTGGATTGGTCTTTAGTGAATTTTGGGTTGTTGGGTTGCTACAGTTGACTCGACTCGCCTATGTTTGTTTTATAACTAAGGTTAATAGTTGCGTGGTGGGGGGGGGGGGTTTCGACGTTATTTCTAATATAGCAGAGGGGGGGGGGGCAGCTATTTTCTTGTGCTTCGGAGGGGGGGTTCTAACTAATTTTCTGCTTGAGAAATCTGGTTTTACGCCCCCCTCCTCCTGGTAATTATTGCACGTTCCCTAAGCTTGAACTTAAATATACCAAAATGAATAAATAAAAAACAACAACTGTCCGACATTTCCTTACAGTTCCAGTTTACTGCTGCCAACAACCTTGTATCTACCTATCAAATACAACGAACATATTAGCCGTTCCGTCGGCGTTAAACCAGCAACCMACGTCAGTGATTTCGGGCCTAAGCCGAGCAGTTGCGCTAGACGTCCACGTAAGCAGTAGACTAATCTTCTGGAGTGATGTAACAGAACTTTCGATCAAGAGAGCAAACGTGGATGGAAGTAACGTGCAAGTCATTGTAAAAAATAGGCTTGGTGTATGTGATGGTCTTGCTGTGGAGTGGATGAACAGTCTTCTTTACTGGACCGACACCTCATTTAACAAAATTGAGGTTTCACGTCTGGACGGATCAAAAAGAAAAGTTTTGATCTCAACCAATTTGGACGAGCCACGTGGAATTTCGGTGGATCCACAATCTGGGTAAGAAATAATCGACCAATACAGTACCAACTTTAGATGATTTTTCAAACCTTTGAAATTTTCTTTCAACAGCAGTTACAAGTCACAATTGTACTTATTTGTTGATTATACTTTTTTTTCCCTGCACAGATTAATGTTCTGGACCGACTGGGGTAAAGCCCCTAAAATTGAAAAATCGTCTCTGAATGGAGAAGGCCGTCAGACAATTGTGAGCTCTTCTCTTCATTGGCCAAATGATATTGCACTGGACCACAGTCAAAAGAAAATCTATTGGGTTGACGCATTCCTTGATAAAATGGAGCATTCAGATTACTCTGGTGCCAATCGAGTCCAGATCTTTTATAATAACATAATTCATCCATTTGGTGTTGARATTCTCAGCTCTTATCTTTACTGGACTGACTGGAATACGCAGTCTGGACTGCACCAAATGGACAAGTCAACTGGCTCATTAATAGGAAAAAMGTACATACCAGGGCAMCGTAAAATGGGTTTGGCAATATTAGACAGCTCGAGACAGCCTTCAAGTAAGTATTAATATTTGGTATTTTGAAGTCATGGAATATTCATGTTTGGTAAATTAAAATCTGAATCAAAGATTTCAAACACCTTTCAGAATAACCATTTGATGAGACATAAAGGAACTAGACCCTGTATGCAGGGTTGACACGTTCCCTTTATTGTACATAATGCTTTGAAACATTAGTAAGTGCGGCCTTAAACATTATCGGTACAAAATATAAAATGATTTGATCCTTCGAGTCTTGTCAAGATATTATATGTGCTTTTTTGGCGATAAGCTTATATGTGGTGGTAATTGTGGTGGTAATATTCAAAGCGTTAAGCTCAGTATTTTATGTGCATTAAAACTCAATATATCCATTGCAGATGTTTGAATAGCCATAACATTTATAAGCATTTTCTAAAGAATTGCATTGACATTCAATCATAATAAGCGAGTAGAGAAAATAAAATATACAACTATAAGGGTTTGCGACCATATGTAACGCCGTTGGCGTTGCTTCACATTGACATATGAGGTTTATAATTGGCACACACTTACTGGTATCGACAATTTGACACTTTTAAACTGCTAGCATGTTTTTGACACTTATTCATTAGTTATACATTAATAAATCTTTTCACATATCTATGATATTCAAGATGGCGGTCCAAGATGGCGCATCCTAAGATGGCGAATATTCTTCTCAAAATTGCTTGTTCCAAATTGTTTAACTTCAAAAACTCCTCAAATTGTAAAATTTACCATAATATAACGATTTAGACAAAAAAAAGTGAGATTTGGAGTCAAATTATTCAAAGACGACAAAGACACTATAGGAAATGACGTCATCACAATTATGACGTCAAAACTGTTACCATGGATACAAAACGAACCAAATCATCACAGGAGAGCAGTAACGCCTAAATATGATATTTAACTGGTTATCTAGATATAGATATATAATTTATAAAAATTAGCTGATATCTATGACGTCACTGTGACGTCATATAGAACAGGGGTCAATTAAAAAATACAAAATATTATTTTCAAGTCATTTCATTAATAAACAGATGATATTGCAGCATTCTCTATGGAATTGTAGGCAATTTATTAAAATGAATTATAAATCGTTAACATGGTGTAAATGACGTCATCATGACGTCATATTTGGTTCCCACGGGTCTAGACTTGGTGTGGTGGTTCGTTGTACGTGGAAAACCATTGTGTGAAGATTTCATGCTCATAGACCTATTGGTTCCGAAGATATTGAGGGGGGGCGAATGAGCCCCACCAAGTCACAGATTGAAAAAAAAAGCCCAGTCTTTATAGGGTTAAGGGACATGGTCCAAGCATCCCTTTCGAGCTTTTGCTCATGTTTGAAAATACATCAAAATTTAAGCAAGAACTTATTCTCTATTTCCCTTTATAATACATGAATGGAGATACTTTAAGATTCGGCCTATTTTGAACCGATGGATGGAAACGGATTGAAAATGGATTTTTGAAGTCACCACATAATTTCCATATATGAAAATCTAAAAAAACGATCGCATTGAATGCTGGTGGACCATGTACCTCTAATAAAGATTTTATTCCAGGTTCAAATCCTTGTCAAAGCAACAACGGTGGGTGTGAGTTCTTGTGTCTGCTGAAGCCCAATGGTTTYAAGTGTGTTTGTCCATTTGGCAAGGTTTTGCAGTCGGATGGGAAAAAGTGCAAAATTCCAGGTCTGATTTATGAAAGTACTGAATGTGATTAAATGTAATATCTAGAGGATGATAATGTTGCTAGTGCTACCTATTTGCATTTACAATCCAAAGTCATAATTGCGAACCCCTTGTCAGTTCTAAAAATGAACATCCAAAATGATTATAATATTTTGCGGAAGAGCTAAACCTTGATGTCGGCCAGTCGCGATTGAGTAAACAGGTGCAAATGGGACCATAGATCACTTTTTGTATTGCAAATTTCTTCATTAAATTTAAGCACATTTCTCCATTAAATTTAACTGTTTAACAATCAACAGACTACGGATGTCAGCAGCCATGCATCTATCTCTCGAATACAACTCACATTATGGCTGTAGAACCAAGTTTGACTCACCACCCGCTAGTCGTAGTTTCCAATCTAAGTCGAGCAGTGGCACTTGATGTTCACGTNGCATTTTCTAAAGAATTGCATTGACATTCAATCATAATAAGCGAGTAGAGAAAATAAAATATACAACTATAAGGGTTTGCGACCATATGTAACGCCGTTGGCGTTGCTTCACATTGACATATGAGGTTTATAATTGGCATACATTTACTGGTATTGACAATTTGACACTTTTAAACTGCTAGCATGTTTTTGACACTTATTCATTAGTTATACATTATTATAAATCTTTTGACATCTCTATGATATAAACGTTAATATTGATATCCTGAAGCTAGTTCTCGGTCCGCAAACCTTTAACAAGAGGGAGTTAATTATTGTTACGATATTCCTACAAGACATGACTGATAACTCAAAATAATGGTGTTGTGAAAAACGTGCTGTTCACATCAACAAATTTAATACTTTTGATCAAAGCGTCCATACATACTTCTAAGATCGTGACATACACATGAAATGATTTGATTTAAGGGACATGGTCCACAAGCATCCCTTTTGAGCTTTTGCTCACGTTTGAAAATAAAAATACATCAAAATTTAAGCAAAAACTTATTCTCTATTTTCCCTTTATAATACATGAATGGAAACTGTAAGATTCGACCTTGAACCGATGGATGGAAACGGTTTGAGAATGGATTTTTGAAGTCACCACATATTTTCCATATATGAAAATTCTAAAAAACGACCGTATTGAATGCTGGTGGACCATGTCCCTCTAATAAAGATTTTGTTCCAGGTTCACAAAATCCTTGTCAAAGCAACAACGGTGGGTGTGAGTTCTTGTGTCTGCTGAAACCCAATGGTTTTGACTGTGTTTGTCCATTTGGCAAGATTTTGCAGTCGGACGGGAAAAAGTGCAAAATTCCAGGTGTGTGTTATACAAGTACTGAATGTGATTAATGTAATTTCTAGAGGATGATAATGTTTAAACGTAGTTTGTTTAATCAACCATGAATAATTTTAAACTTCTTTCCAAGCTTTCGACCTAAGCGGTCATCTTCAGGGAACACAAAGACGTTAAAGATGATAATGTTGCTAGTAACAACGAATGGCCGCTGCTTGCAATAGTACCTATTATTGCATTGACAATAAAAAAAGTTATAATTGCGACCCCTTGCCAGTTCTAAAATTGAACATCGAAAATGGCTATAATATTTGGCGGAAGAACTAAAACTTGATATCGGACAGTTGCGATTGAGAAAATCGCAAATGGGACCATAGATCACTTTTTGTATTTCACATTTCTCCATTAAATTTAACTGGTCTTTAACAATCAACAGATTACGGATGTCAGCAGCCATGCATCTATCTCTCGAATACAACTCACATTATGGCTGTAGAACCAAGTTTGACTCACCACCCGCTAGTCGTAGTTTCCAATCTAAGTCGAGCAGTGGCACTTGATGTTCACGTTAATCATGGAATGATCTTCTGGAGTGATGTCCAAGATAAATCCATCAAGAGAGCAAACGTTAATGGAGGAAACATTCAAGTCATTGTGAAAGACAACGTTGGGGTTGTTGATGGACTGGCCGTGCAATGGAGGAATGATCTTCTCTACTGGACGGATACAACAAACAACAAAATTGAAGTTTCACGTCTGGATGGTTCGAGAAGAAAAGTGTTGTTCTCTGAACACCTAGATGAGCCGCGCGGGATTGCAGTAGATCCTGATTCTGGGTAAGCATATCACTTCAGTGTTTTTGGCCCATGTGCAAGGAACATGATCGTTTGACTGAAAAGATTAATTCGGTTTGAAACGAGAGTTTTATTGGAAGATAGATTTGTTTTCGTAAAACACATAGAACAATCTTAGTCACAGAAAACAACACCGTTAAAACTCTACAGCAAT